TAAACGGGTGGTAAATTTCATCCAAAGCAAAATATATACTCGAGACCGATAGCACAAAGTACCGTGAGGGAAAGGTGAAAAGAACTTTGAGAAGAGGGTTAAATAGTGCCTGAAATCGTTGAGAAGGAAGCGGATGCCGCCGTTGCATATGCTGATTGTAGGATTGCTGCTCGCTCCTGTCTTCTGCTACTCATTCACAGACCTGGTCGTGTTGAGCAGTTGTTTGGCAGATGTTAGTGGTGTTTCCTACTTTCAGTCGTCAGCATCACTGGCTGAGTGGAAATAATCCTTGGATGCTAATTGGTTCGCTATCTGTGAATTGGTTGCTTCCTTGCGATACTCACTACTCGGTCAGTGAGGAAGTGCGTTTGCTGGTCAACGAGCTTTCTAACTGTCATTACCCTGCGCTTTTCGATTCGTCGAGTGGCCAGGATGTGGCTTTGAGATTGTTCGCACTTAGTAATCGCGATGCTGGCTTCCAACGGTTGCCTCCGGCCCGTCTTGAAACACGGACCAAGGAGTCTAACGTATGTGCGAGTGTGTGAGTGGCAAACTTATACGCGTAATGAAAGTGAGGCCGTATGGCCATGTTGGGGTCACCAACAACCGACCTTGATCTTCGGTGAAAGGTTTGAGTATGAGCATATCCGTTAGGACCCGAAAGATGGTGAACTATGCCTGAGCAGGGTGAAGCCAGGGGAAACTCTGGTGGAGGCTCGTAGCGATACTGACGTGCAAATCGTTCGTCAGACTTGGGTATAGGGGCGAAAGACTAATCGAACCATCTAGTAGCTGGTTCCCTCCGAAGTTTCCCTCAGGATAGCTAGAGTCTTTATCAGTTTTGTCAGGTAAAGCGAATGATTAGAGGTTCCGGGGAAGTAACTTCCTCGACCTATTCTCAAACTTTAAATGGGCAAGATCCAGTAGTTACTTAATTGAACTATTGGGGTCAATGAGACGACTCTAAGTGGGCCATTTTTGGTAAGCAGAACTGGCGATGAGGGATGAACCTAACGCTCGGTTAAGGTGCTAAACTGCTCGCTCATCAGATACCACAA